TTTATTTTAATATCAGAAGTGTTTTCTCTCACTCACAGTTGTAGATATTATTGATCTGTTTGTAGAAAGTGAAACCCAGAGGGACATGTGTCTGTGTCTTTCAGCTGTCTCCATACGACAACCTGCTGCTCTGCCAGCCGGTCTCGTCTCCGCTCCCACTCAGGTCAGTTTCGTGAACCTGTGTCGTCTGCATATTCCTTCACCTCTGTGTGTCCTGAGGTTTTCATGTCGTCTTCTCTTCTAATAACCTCCCGTGTGACAGTGGTGCGAGTTACCTGAAGCTGCTGCAGAACCTCGGTCCAGAAAACGCCTGCACGCTGCTGCTCGCCGTCCTCACCGAACACAAGCTGCTGCTGCACTCGCTGCGACCCGACGTCCTCACCTCCGTCAGCGAGGCCCTGGTCTCAGTAAGACTCGAGAGACTACCAGTGTTCCATGTGTTGGAGCAGGTGGAGGAGTTGCTCCTGAATTAGATCTGTGTGATAACCTGTCCCTTGTCTCTCCAGATGAGTTTCCCTCTGCGCTGGCTCTGTCCCTACATCCCTCTGTGTCCGCTGCAGATGGCCGATGTGCTGCTGGCGCCGATGCCCTTCATCGTGGGCGTCCACTCCAGCTACTTCGACCTGTATGACCCCCCCACGGACGTGGTGTGTGTCGACCTGGACACCAACACCATCTTCCAGTGAGTGCATCATGTGACACCGTGTTTATTTGTTTGTTGAAATATTCTGAAACTGATCTGAATGAATTTAACATTTTAAACTCATTCATAGAAAACTGTGAACCTCTTCTTCTTCTTCTTCCTCTTCTATTATTCCTCCTCTTCCACCTCCTCCTCTTTTTCTTCCTCTGCCTTTTCTTCTTCATCTTCCTCCTCTTCTTTTTTTCTCCTCTTCCACCTCCTCCTCTTTTTCTTTATCTTCCTCCTCTTTTTCTTCTTCCTCCTCCTCTTCTTTTTTCTCCTCTTCTTTTTTCTCCTTTTCTTCCTCCTCTTTGTCCTCCTCCTTTTCTTCTTCATCTTCCTCCTTCTGTTCTTCTTCCTGTTAAGAATAAGATTTATTTTTTTATTGTCTGCACCTAAGAGCTGATCTTGACTCGCTCCTGATTTTAAAGCTTCATAAACTGAGAGTGTTGAAATCCATCGACTGTGATTCTCGTCTCAGGTCGGATGAAAAGAAGCCGCTGTCGTGGCGATCGTTACCCAGGAAGCACGGAAAGACTCTGTTCAACGCGCTCACCAGCCTCTACAAGACCCTGGAGAAGAGTGAGTGACAGTCACATGACCCGGCCACAGAGCCTTTCAAAATAAAGCTACACAGTTCAGAGACGACAGAGAATCACAATCAGTGATTGATCGAATTTATTCATTTTCTGAAAACAGGTCAAACTTCTCAGTGTCATGACTTTCTGCATTCTCTGCGGAGTCAAAGTTAAAACTAATGAATAAGAAATCATCTGTGACCACAGCTGCCAAATGAATGAAGTAAATAGAACTGAAGGATGAGTAAAGATACTTCTACTGTACTTTAGTCAGTGTACTTAATTACTTCCCTCCTCTATCCATCACTCAAACACGTAAATCTCTGGATCTCAAATAGACTCCCGTCTCGTGTTTTGCAGTTTGCACCCCCGGCCAGGAGGAGGCAACGTTGGAGTTCCTGCTGACCGACTACGATCAGATCTACAGGCGTCAGAAGCAGCTGGAGCTGGAGATCCAGGAGGTGTTTCTGCGTTTCATGAGCTGCCTGCTGCGAGGATACCGCTCCTTCCTGCTGCCAATCACTCAGGCTCCGTCTGACACCACCACTGACTGCAGTTCCCTGTTCAACCTGCAGGGTGAGCACTGTCTGTGTGTGGCATGTTCTTCTCTCCTTGTGAGGACCGGACGTCCTGACGGGTGCTGTTGGAGGTTGAGACTCTGGTTCATGTCTTCATGCTCTGATGTTCAGCAGACATCTTGAGACGGTCCATCGCTGCAGCTCCTCTGATCAGCCTCCGTCTCAAAGAGAGGGAGGAGCTAAACACAATCTTTAGGCCCCTCCTCCTGAGGAAGTCTGCTCTGATTGGTCAACCTCTCCCAGCGGGGAGGAAATGTTTACCTGGTTCTTTACGTGGTTTTGTTTGGGGGCGTGTCAGACTAGCTGCTTGATAACAACACTCATCAGTGACCTCTAGAGGCAGCGAAGGTTAAAATAATTATTTTTGGAAAGGGGTTCCTCCTCTGGGAAGCATGAATTTGATTAAATTAAATTAAACTTCATGAAACTGAACCTGTTGGGACGTTTTGTCCAGATGGTGGTGCTGGTGAGAGAACTGGTGTCATGAGAGTGAGACTGTCAGAGTGCAGCCTCTGGGGAGCATGAATATCTGTATAAGATTCTCATGAAGAAAGATTTTCATCTTATTCTGATCTGATGTTGTGGACAAAAACTTCCTCCTGCTCCTTCTCATCTTCCTCCTTCTCATCTTCCTCCTTCTCCACCTCAATCTCTATTTGTTCTTCCCCCTCCTCATTTTCTTCCTCATCCTTTTCTTCTTCATCACTCCTCCACCTTTCTTTCTTCCTCCTCTCTTTCTTCCTCGAACACCTCCTGTTTTTCTCTTCCACCTCCTCCTCTTTTTCTTCCTCTACCTCCTCCTCTTCCTCCACCTCCTCTTCCACATTCTCCTCCTCCTCCTCAACCCCCTCTTCCTCCTCGTCCTCCTGCAGGCTTCCTGAAGTCTCGTGATCGGACGCAGCAGAAGATCTACGTCCAGCTGACGAGGACCCAGATGTTCACTCAGTTCATCGAGGAGTGCTCCTTCGTCAGTGACCGTCACGCCTGCCTGGAGTTCTTTGACGAGTGCGTCCAGAAGGTCAGAACTCCTCCTGTCCCTCATTAGTCTTATTTGACGTTTGCATTGTGATAAATATAATAAACTGAAACAAACGTGCAGCTCGGCTCAGACTCGGATGTGAAAACATCCAGAGTTCAACACAATGATTTATTTATTTGGTGTTTTGTGGTGACGTGTGTCGGCAGGTGGACGTGGAGAAGCCGGAGGAGGTGAGGCTCATCGATCTGGACGAGACTTACAGCGGAGAGCACACAGTCTTCATCATGCCCCCTGAAGAACCACAGGAACCGGACGGGTCAGAGTGCGCTGCCCTCTACAGGTGCAGTTCCACAAAGCTCACCAGAGGTTTTGTCCTCGAGATTCAAGATTCAATACTTTACTGACAAATTGATAAATACATGAAACATATAAACAAATTTGAGCCCTAGAAAAGAATTGAATGATAACTAATAATAAAAGCAATAAGATATAATAATATAATAATGATAAGAATAGATCTGATACTACGGAAGTCGTATTGCATTCACTTGATAAAAAAAGAAAACTCTAAAACTAAATTTATTTTTTAGGTTTGTTTTTTGGACTCTAGCAGATCTAAACAGGATTTCCTTCTGAACAACCACAAAGGTGCCTGCGTAGAGTCGACGAAAAACTGAAGAAAAATAAATTAGTCCGAAAAACTGAAGAAAAAAAATTTGTCGTTGGTGAGCGTGAAGAACAGTTGACGACACCCTCTTGCTGGTAACTATAGAAACAAAACGGGTTCAGGACACATTCGGCGAGATGGGGAAGACTGGGATCAAACCGCCGACCTTCCGGTTGGAGGCTCTGTGTCAAGGACGACCGCTTTACCCTCAGTCACAGCCGCCTCTTCATTTTTACAGACAAAGATCTGAGAGCAGAAGTTTCACGTGCACAGAAGAGCTCAGGGAAATGCAAGCACAAGCAGGGTGTGTTAGAGTGTGAGCATTTTAAAAATCCTGTTCTCAGACAAACCAGGTGCAGGACGCTGTGGTCACAGAAACAAGTATGTCAATAAAAACAGACATCTGCTTCACTGTCCTCTGTCTCGTGCCTCCAGCTATGAAACCTTCCCCACGCTGAGGCCTGAGCTCTTCGACCAGCCGCAGGACCAGCTCCGTGTCCCGGCTAAAGGCAGCGCCCCCAGCAGCCCCGCCCCTCGACGCACCAAACAGGTACAAACACAGAGCTGACGTCCGATGTGGAAAACACAGTTTTAACTGTGACCCAGTTTCCCCTGAGTGAAGAGGAGGGAGCTCGTCGCTGTGCATCATCTTGTTTTAATGAGTCATTATCAATATTTCACACATCATCCAGAATTTAACAGACACACTTCAGGACTCGGGAGGGAAACGTTAACACTTTGATTTATTTTCACATCTCAGAGATACAATCACGAAAACGTATTTTATTTTTTATTCCCACATTTTAATGATCAACAGTTGACACGTTTCCATGGGAACAATATTCTGATTCTGATCAGTGCTCTGACCTCATCGTGTCAACATGTTTACGTCTTCATTTCATGAACGAGGATGATGATGCATCAGGTTATAAAATCCTGACCGGACGTGGAACATGTGTCGTTTTATTATCAGACAATTCTCTAACATGAAATTCATGTAAACATAATCTGAGTAACGTTCAGAATAAGGTCAAAGGTCAGTTTACGTCCATACATCTGATGTCATGTGATCTTTCCTTCCCACCAGGAGATAAAGTTGGCTCAGAAGCGAGCTCAGAAATACTCTGCCGTCCCCGACATGTGGTCCAAGTGTCTGCTGGGCCACTGCTACGGCCTCTGGTTCCTCTACCTGCCCACCTTCGTTCGGGCGGAGAGTGCCAAGGTCCGCACCCTGCACACGGCCTACGACGTCCTCAAACACATGGAGAACCGCAAGGTGGTGCTGCCGGACGAGGTGAGCCAGGGTCAGAGGTCACTGCTGCAGTGATGTCACTCAGGGTGACATCAATAAAAACAGAAGCTGTGATTTTAAAACACCGGCCTGTGTTTCAGGTGTGTTATCGGATCCTGATGCAGTTGTGTGGTCAGTACGGGCAGCCGGTCCTCGCTGTTCGAGTCCTGCTGGAGATGAAGAAGGCGGGAATCACACCCAACACCATCACCTACGGATACTACAACAAGGTCCACACACACACACACACACACAC